CAGGTAAAGGACTAAACAGGACTTAAACAGAAGTAAAACAGGACTAAACCAAGACTGAACCAGGACTAAACCAGGTCTAAACCAGACTAAACCAGGACTAACCAGGATAAACTAAACCAGACTGAATGAGGACTAAAGGTCTAAACAGGAAACCAGGAAAACAGGTAAACCAGGACTAAACCAGGTCTAAACCAGGACTAAAACCAGGACTAAACCAGGACTAAACCAGGTAAACCAGGACTAACCAGGACTAAACCAGGTCTGAACCAGGACTAAACCAAAACTAAACCAAGACTGAAATGGGACTGACCAGTCTAAACCAGGTAAACCAGTTAAACCAGGTAAACCAGAAAACCAGGAAACTAAACCAGGACTAAACCAGGACTAAACCAAAACTCTAACCAGGACTAAAACAGGGAAGTAAAACAGGACTAAACCAAGACTGAACCAGGACTAGGTTAAACCAGGTCTAAACCAGGACTAAACCAGGACTAAACCAGGATAAAACCAGGACTAAACCAGGTCTAAACCAGGACTTAAACCAGAAACCAGGTCTAAAAGGTTAAACAGGACTAAACCAAGACTGAAACTAAACCAGGTCTAAACCAGGAGTAAAACAGGACTAAACCAGGTCTAAACCAGGACTGATCTAGGACTAAAACAGGACTGAAGATTCTGTGCCAGTGAAAGGTAAAAGTGAGGACCGCTGTGTGACGATCGTAGTTGTCGTCGTTGTCGCGTCGTCGCTCGAACGATAAATCTCTTTGGGAAACACTCGTTCGCTCGTGAATATTAAAGAGTCACACAAACTGAACAAACTCACTGGACACAACCGTTACACTTCTAATTCCAACAACATCTCCATGGAGACGGGCAGGTAGAAAAGTGACACAGTGGACCTTTAACAGCGGGTACGTATCGCTCCACTGCACATGAGCCGTCCTGTGTTTTGGCTCTTCGTGTCTGGGCCAGTTTAATTCCAGCTCGTCTTTCATGTGAGACTAAACCTGAAGATAAAACCTGAACTCTGGCAACAACAGAGCGGAGCCAGAGGGTGGAGAAGGTGGAGAAGGTGGAGAAGAGTGTGTGGAGAAGAGTGTGGAGAAGAGTGTGGAGAAGGTGGAGAAGAGTGTGGAGAAGAGAGTGGAGAAGAGTGTGGAGAAGAGTGTGGAGAAGAGTGTGGAGAAGGTGAGAAGAGTGTGGAGAGAGTGTGGAGAGAGAGAGTGTGTGTGAAGAGTGTGGAGAAGGTGGAGAAGAGTGTGGAGAAGAGTGTGGAGAAGAGTGTGGAGAAGAGTGTGGAGAAGAGTGTGGAGAAGAGAGAAGGTGTGAAGAAGGTGGAGAAGAGTGGAGAAGGTGGAGAAGGGTGTGTGAGAGAGAGAGTGTGGAGAAGGTGGAGAAGAGTGTGGAGAGAGTGTGGAGAAGAGAAGGGGTGGAGAAGAGTGGAGAAGAGTGTGGAGAAGAGTGGGAGAAGTGTGGAGAAGGTGGAGAAGAGTGTGGAGAGGTGGAAGAGAGTGTGGAGAAGGTGGAGAAGAGTGTGGAAGAAGAGTGTGAAGAAGAGAGTGGAGAGAGTGTGAGAAGGTGGAGAAGAGTGTGGAGGAGAGAGTGTGGAGAAGGTGGAGAAGGTGGAGAAGAGTGTGGAGAAGAAGGTGGAGAAGAGTGTGGAGAAGGTGTGAGAAGAGTGTGAAGAGTGTGTGGAGAAGAGTGTGGAGAAGGTGGAGAAGGGTGGAGTGTGTGGAAGAGAGTGTGGAGAGAGGTGGAGAAGAGTGTGTGGAGAAGGTGGAGAAGAGTGTGGAGAAGTGGAGAAGAGTGGAGAAGAGTGTGGAGAAGAGTGTGGAGAAAGAAGTGGAGAAGAGTGGTGGAGAAGAGTGTGGAGAAGAGTGTGGAGAAGAGGGTGGAGAAGAGTGTGGAGAAGAGTGTGGAGAAGGTGGAGAAGAGTGTGGAGAAGAGTGGAGAAGAGAGAAGTGTGGAGAAGGTGGAGAAGAGTGTGGAGAAAGAGTGTGAGAAGAGAAGAGTGTGGAGAAGAGTGTGGAGAAGGTGGAGAAGAGTGTGGAGAGAAAGGTGTGGAGAGGTGGAGAGTGTGGAGAAGAGGGTGGAGAAGAGTGTGGAGAAGAGTGTGGAGAAGGTGGAGAAGGTGAGAGAGTGGAGAGTGAGAAGGTGTGAGAGAGTGTGGAGAAGAGTGTGGAGAAGAGGGTGAAGAAGAGTGTGTGAAGAGTGTGGAGAAGGTGGAGAAGAGTGTGGAGAAGAGTGTGGAGAAGAGTGTGGAGAAGAGTGTGGAGAAGAGTGTGGAGAAGAGTGTGGAGAAGAGTGTGGAGAAGAGGGTGAGAAGAGTGTGTGAAGAGTGTGGAGAAGGTGGAGAAGGTGAAGAGTGTGGAGAAGAGTGTGGAGAAGAGTGTGGAGAAGAGTGTGGAGAAGAGTGTGGAGAAGAGTGTGGAGAAGAGTGTGAGAAGAGTGTGGAGAAGAGAGTGTGAAGAGTGTGGAGAAGAGTGTGGAGAAGAGTGTGGAGAAGAAGAGAGTGTGGAGAAGAGTGTGTGAAGAGTGTGGAGAAGAGGTGGAGAAGAGTGTGGAGAAGAGTGTGGAAGAAGAGTGTGGAGAAGGTGGAGAGTGTGGAGAAGAGTGTGGAGAAGAGGGTGATGAAGAGTGTGTGAAGAGTGTGGAGAAGGTGGAGAAGGTGAAGACTGTGGAGAAGAGGGTGGAGAAGAGTGTGGAGAAGAGTGTGGAGAAGGTGGAGAAGGAGAAGAGTGTGGAGAAGAGGGTGGAGAAGGTGGAGAAGAGTGTGTGGAGAAGAGTGTGTGGAGAAGGTGGAGAAGAGTGTGGAGAAGAGTGGAGAAGAGTGTGGAGAAGGTGGAGAAGAGTGTGGAGAAGAGTGTGAGAGAAGAGTGGAGAAGAGTGTGGAGAAGGTGTGAGAAGTGTGGAGAAGTGTGGAGAAGAGTGGAGAAGAGTGTGGAGAAGGTGGAGAAGAGTGTGTGTGGAGAAGAAGAGTGTGGAGAAGAGTGTGGAGAAGAGTGTGGAGAAGAGTGTGTGGAGAAGAGTGTGGAGAAGAGTGTGGAGAAGAGTGGAGAAGAGTGTGTGGAGAAGGTGGAGAAGAGAGAGTGTGGAGAAGAGTGTGGAGAGAGTGTGGAGAAGTGTGGAAGAGTGTGGAGAAGAGTGTGGAGAAGAGTGTGTGTGGAGAAGAGTGTGTGGAGAAGAGTGTGGAGAAGGTGGAGAAGAGTGTGGAGAAGAGTGTGGAGAAGAGTGTGGAGAGAAGTGTGGAGAAGAGTGTGAGAAGGTGGAGAGAAGGAGAAGTGTGGAGAAGAGTGTGGAGAAGAGTGTGAGAAGAGTGTGTGAGAAGAGTGTGGAGAAGAGTGTGGAGAGAGTGTGTGGAGAAGGTGGAGAAGAGTGTGGAGAAGGTGGAGAAGAGTGTGGAGAAGAGTGTGGAGAAGAGTGGAGAAGAGTGTGAGAGAAGAGTGTGGAGAAGAGTGTGAGAGAAGAGTGTGGAGAAGTGGAGAAGAGTGTGAAGAAGAGGGTGGAGAAGGTGGAGAAGAGGGAGTGGAGAAGAGTGTGGAGAAGGTGGAGAAGAGTGTGGAGAAGAGTGTGGAGAAGAGTGTGGAGAAGAGGTGTGTGGAGAAGGTGGAGAAGAGTGTGGAGAAGAGTGTGGAGAAGAGAAGAGTGTGGAGAAGGTGGAGAAGAGGTGTGTGGAGAAGGTGGAGAAGAGTGTGTGGAGAGGTGGAGAAGAGTGTGGAGAAGGTGAGTGTGGAGAAGAGTGTGGAGAAGAGTGTGGGAGAAGGTGGAGAAGAGTGGAGAAGAGTGTGGAGAAGAGTGTGAGAAGAGTGTGGAGAAGAGTGGAGAAGAGTGTGAGAAGAGAGGGTGGAGAGGTGGAGAGAGTGTGGAGAAGGTGGAGATGTGGAGAAGAGTGGAGAAGAGTGGAGAAGAGTGTGGAGAAGAGTGGGAGAAGATGTGGAGAAGAGTGTGGAGAGAGTGTGGAGAAGAGTGTGAAGAAGAGGGTGGAGAAGGTGGAGAAGAGTGTGGAGAAGGTGGAGAAGGTGAAGACAGTGGAGAAGAGGGTGGAGAAGAGTGTGGAGAAGAGTGTGGAGAAGGTGGAGAAGGTGAAGAGTGTGGAGAAGAGGGTGGAGAAGTGGAGAAGAGTGTGGAGAAGAGTGTGGAGAAGGTGGAGAGTGTGGAGAAGAGGTGGAGAGAAGAGTGTGGAGAAGAGTGTGGAGAAGAATGGGAGAAGAGTGGAGAGAGAGTGTGAGAGAAGAGGGTGGAGAAGGTGGAGAAGAGTGTGGAGAAGAGTGTGGAGAAGGTGGAGAAGGTGAAGAGTGTGGAGAAGAGGGTGGAGAAGAGTGTGAGAAGAGTGTGGAGAAGAGGGTGGAGAAGAGTGTGAGAGAGAGTGTGGAGAAGAGTGTGGAGAAAGTGGAGAAGAGATGTGAAGAAGAGAGGGTGGAGAAGTGGAGAGGGTGGAGAAGGTGGAGAAGAGTGTGGAGAAGAGGGCGGAGAAGGTGGAGAAGATGGAGGGTGGAGAAGGTGGAGAAGGTGAAGAAGGTGAAGAAGGTGGATAAGGTTGAGAAGGTGGAGACGGTGGAGTTTGTGGAGAGCGTGGAGTTTGTGGAGAGCGTGGAGTTTGTGGAGAGTGTGGAGTTTGTGGAGAGTGTGGAGTTTGTGGAGAGTGTGGAGTTTGTGGAGAGTGTGGAGTTTGTGGAGAGTGTGGAGTTTGTGGAGAGCGTGGAGTTTGTGGAGAGCGTGGAGTTTGTGGAGAGTGTGGAGTTTGTGGAGAGTGTGGAGTTTGTGGAGAGTGTGGAGTTTGTGGAGAGCGTGGAGTTTGTGGAGAGTGTGGAGTTTGTGGAGAGTGTGGAGTTTGTGAAGAGTGTGGAGTTTGTGGAGAGCGTGGAGTTTGTGGAAGAGTGTGGAGTTTGTGGAGAGCGTGGAGTTTGTGGAGAGCGTGGAGTTTGTGGAGAGCGTGGAGTTTGTGGAGAGGTGGAGTTTGTGGAGAGAGAGTGGAGTTTGTGGAGAACGTGTCGGGGCACCTGGGTTGGAGATGGTCCAGTCCAGGAGCCAGTTCATGTGACAGTCGCAGGTCCAGGGGTTGGCGTGCAGGACCAGAGTCTCCAGCAGAGGCGCTGTGTCCAGAAGATCTCTGCTCACAGACGACAGGCTGTTGTTGGACACGTCCAAGTGTCTGTGGAGACAAACACACAAACGTCAGAATACTCAAGTACTCTCACGCCTCACAGCAACAAGGTTCCAGGTCCTTTCAGGTTTCTCCTCGTGTCTGGAGGAGTTTCCTCCGGTTTTCCCAAAACCTGCTCCAGGTCTCCAGGAAAAACAGTTGATATGTCAAGGTCAGTTAAACACAAACAGTTAATGAACCTGTTCAGAGACGACAGGTGGAAATTAACACTGGTGCTACAACCTGGAACAATGCAAATAAATAAAAAAATAAATAAATAAAATAAATAAAATACTCAAGTAACTTTTTAATAAAATGACATCTCTCAGAGTAGTTTTCAGACACTGCAACTTTAAGTTTTAATGTCGATTCCTCGTCACAAACAAATGTGTGTGTCGTTCGTTCATTTGTTTTTTAAAATAAAATCAAAATTAAGAAAACGAAAAAACTATTTTCTTCATTATTTGTCTCCAAAACCAAAATGAAAAAAACTGAAAATGATTCGTTTTTTCCAGTTTTTGTGTTTTGTGTTTAAATGAAGAATGGAAAAAAACAGATAATGAACTGAACCAGGACTGAACTGGTCTCAGTCCTGGTCTGGTCCTAGTCTCAGTCTCGGTCTGGTCCCCGGTTCTGGTCTCAATCCGGTCTGGTCCCGGTCTGATTCCGGTCTGGTCCCGATTCCGATCTCAGTCTGGGTTTGGTCACGATCTCAGTCCCGGTCTGGTCCCGGTTTCTCAGTCCTGGTTTAGTCCTGGTTTAATCCTGGTTAAGTCCTGGTTTAGTCCTGGTTCAGTCCTGGTTCAGTCCTGGTTTAATCCTGTTTTAGTCCTGGTTCAGTCCTTTCGCCATTTTTTCCATTTTTCATTTAAACACAAAATTAAAAACTGAAAAAAAAAAAATCATTATCTTTTTTTTTCATTTTGGTTTTGGAGACAATTTATTTTTAATTTTTTATTATTATTATTTTTGGTTTTATTTTGAAAAACAAATGACACACGGACTGAAAAACTTTTGAGCACTACAAACTGTTTACAATGAACTGTTTCTGTTTTTCACCTTTTTAAGACACACACAAAAAATCTAAATTTAAGTCGTGCTTCTTTCTTTCCGCTGTTCTACAAGTGTCAAAAGTTTTACGTGGACAAAATGAAACAGTCTGAACATTTGTTTTTTCTCGCGTCTCCTTCAGATCTGATTCAGTTTTGCCTCGTCTCTGCGTCCGTCTCTGAAAACACCATTTTCTTTTGTTTACTTTTTTATCGTCTCAATGTATTGAAATCAAATCTGCTGCTTTGTTTTTTTGCTTGAACCTTTCTGACCCGCCTGGACTTTCATTTTCTATTCGGTAAAACAGAAACTTCAAATCACTTTTATCTGGTTTGGAAAAAAAACAAAACAAATAGCTTTAGAATTTTGAGAGGCTGAGGACTTTAACTTCAGCATTTGGGAACAATTTGTCAAAGAGTTTTAAGACAGATGGAAAACTCAAGAAAAAAATACAACAATGGATTTAAAGAGCACATTTTCAGGAGCCTGTGATCAGGGTGAGTGTTCATGGTGCTGTTCATGTTATTTGAGAGGGACTTGTTTAAAAGCACAGATCACATCATCTGTTGCAGTTCCAATTGTCCTATTTTTCAGACTATAAGCTGCACTTAAAGGGCCCATCTCATGTAAAATCAAATTTTCAGATCTTTTTTACCTTCTCAGAGTGATGTGTGGCCTTGCATTTGTCGCCCAAGTGTTTTTTAGATTGATTTGGCTTTTCTTTTTTTTTTTAAATTGGAGAGTATTACTGCCACCCTCCCACATGACAACGAACTAAAGCTGCTACAACGACGACGTGGCAGATTCACCTATGACACATCTGACGTAACAGAAAACTCTTCGCCACCTCCTCCAGTGAACACGATGTAATAAATTGATCTACTAGTGTTTATTAAAACTTTACCAGTCAGTAATGTTCAGTTGATGTGGACTCGGTGCTTGAGCTTCGTGCTCCTCAAAGTCCTCGTCCGATTCTGGGTCCAACACATGCGGCTGAACGCGCTGTATCTCCATGATGAATAAAAGTTTATTCCTGCCGCTGTCAGGGTCACGTCTGTCTCCCCTCCCTCCCTGAGATGGCGGAGGAAGGGCGGCTCACTCAGAGTCTACGTCACGTTTGGAGGGCGGAGCCTGTGCTTTCTCAGGACGGACGGGGGGAGGAGCAATAGTCGGACTTTCGTAGTTCCTTGTCTGTGAATGACTCCAAGACATCAGGAAGATTTCAGAACTATTGTGTCATGGATGTTCCAAAACCCAAACCGTGCAGAAGATACAATGTGAAAAGAATTATTTTACATCAGATGGACACTTTAAATCTTTTAATTTTCTCAAAACTCGACAGTGCCTTATGTATTAATTCTGGTTTCTGACCTTGAACTGATTTTCTGTGGTTCACGGCGCTCAAAAATCTGTCAAAATGTTTTAATATGACTTTGGTAAACTACGATGCCGCACCGCCTGATGGAGTGTTACGACTGCTGGAGTCAGACACATTCACCAAGACAGGGAGGAAACGCCGAGCGAGTTACACCACGACGGACGCCTGGACTCAGGGTCAGACTCAAGTGTCGTCCGAACTTCACGAAGACCCGAATCATCACTGAACAGAGAAGCAACAGCGACGAGACTCGGTTAATGACATTGTGTTCGTGATTTAACCGTGTTGGATGAAAGTTCGTCAAGGAGCATCAAACAACTTTAACTTGTTAGACGACTTTTTTTTGGGTTGTTGTACTTTTTCATTTGTTCTGTTAGTGTTAAAATACAGCGGTAGAGGTTCATTTACAGTTTGTCATGTTCAGCCTTTAATTGTGTCATTA